AGGGTTTAGGGTTTAGGGTAAAGCTCCCAACTTGAAGGTTCTACGGATGTTGTTGTGCTTCGGTTTAGGGCTTGGGGTTTTGGGTCGGTTTCGAGACGGGTGTTTAAGCAACAATGCGGGTTTATATCGGATTAGACAGGGTTGTTGCACGGTTTCATACGTTCTAAAAATACTTTTGCACAACATTACAGGCAAGTATAACTAACTAGCAACAAGAAAAAAGTCTTTGCACGCAACCATAAGCCTGTCGAAAGCCGACAGGCCTGCTGCAAGCCCTACAGAAGTCTGCGCAACGATCTATCCAGAATTGCGCCTGGCCTTCCAGCGATATTGCTGCCCCAGCATGGGCCCACAATAAATTAAATTGTCTCAATGCTAAAATCTTTGTTACACAGATACCACGACAGTGTATCGCCACGTGTGCTTCATTCCAAAGACTCTAAACTATCATTGCCTCTTTGTGGAATCCTCATAGAGCCCTTGCAGGACCGTTTCAAAACTTGTATAAGACCCTCATAGGAGCCCCCAGACCCATCCATGCCACAAATGCCTCGTTGTGATCTGGCCCGACCTGAAACATCAGCGACGGGTCGTTGAAGCTTCGGGGATGCTATGAGCCAGACTCGTAGGGTTCTTAAACGCAAGGCTTGGCTCACAGTCGAGGGCTGATTAGGATTTAGGGTGTGCAGGTTTAGGGCGAGGGTTTTGGGGCATAGGAGGTTTAGGGTGTAAAAAATGTAAAGTTTACGGCCTAGGGTCTGGCTTCCTGACTTTAGGATTTAGGGTGTGCCGGACAGATCGTGCTAGTTCGCGCAGCATAGTGTATACCCAAGACATTTCCAACAGAAGCAGAATTCCAGATTTCTGGTGACAGCAAATGACCGGAACTCCCACTGGCCATCGACAGCCAATTTAGCTTTCGCGCTGGGGGATGTTTTCGGTGCGAAGGAGATAGTTTTCCGCTCTGGGCCTTTAGGAGACCCGCCACGGCCAAAGCCAGGGCTCCGAAGCCGCGGCCATGGGCCGAGACAGGGCCAAAGGCGAGAAAAAATTAAGAAGGCGGATCAGCTGGACGTTCACACAGAGGTAGGGTTTATGTTTCAAAGCTGGCACTGAAGTTTTGAAGTTTAAGGGGCCGGGGTTGTAGGTGAAGGTTTCGGGCTTCTTTGGAAGATCAAGGAAAGCTGCATCCAAAGCCGCAGTGACGACAAGCCCAACCAAAAAAATCCAAAGCCTTTTCCAAAATCCTATGCCCTACAGTTTTTGCTCTCCTAATTCTTATGAACCCGAAAACTCAGATCTCTACTTCTCTCAATGCTACACTATGAGAAACTTCGATTCCCTGAACCGCGCCAATTGACCCCTAACGGAAACGTTACATTCTATCACGCTTCAGATTTCAGTTTTGTTACGGACTCGGGGATTTAAGGTTAATCAAGCCTTCAAGCCGTACGGATTATGCGGGGCTTAGGCCTGAACCCGAGAGCCTAGTCCCTAAACCTTGAAGCATTCGGGGGAGCTGAAAGCTTTTAAGCCCAGCGGCGCAGCCGCAGACTGTCCCGGCGCGTGGGGGACCCTCTGCCTTGAGCTGCACTGAGATTCATGTATTCGGTTCACCAGCGTAGTTGAACTTCCTTTCTTTATGGTACAGTACCGCCCCCAACGTGGGCTTGCTCCCCTGCCCCCCTCCCCCCCGCCCACTGCCCACTGCACCCCTTCCCGTACCCCTACCCCCTGCCCGCCTGCCTATCGTGCCCCTGCCCACAACCCAGAATGCGGGCAAGCAGAAATTGCGTACATCCCTTCAAATCCTATCTCTTGTTGCTTTTGGCGCACTTAAATGCTTTTGCCCTCAAAACTTAAGGTTTCGAGTAGGGAGCCCTCTATTAAAAACCCTCATAAAGCTCTCATAGAACCCTGAAAGTACACAATAACGGTCCGTGTTGAAACATTAAAGAAACGTAAACCCCAAAGTCCTATCACCTTAAAATGCCCTACAAGCCCCTGCTTAAGAAATCCATCTCTAAAGCCAACAATCTGCACCCAAAAATCAAGAAAAACCAAAACCATGTAGAACCCCCAAAAACCTGATGAAACTTTAACCCGAAACCCAAAACTGTAATCCCTAAACCCTAACTTTTGATACCCAGTGGCAATGGTGCAGACTTTGATACCAGGCACGGCGGACCTTCTGGAGGATGTGGATTTGGCCGCCTTACTGGGCCCGTAATGGTGTCGTGAGCAAATGGAAAGCTCGCACCAACAAGCAACTGGTGCACCCCGTGCGCAGAATAATCAAGCGCATGGGTCCTGAGGGAGGCTCGGGATGCGCTACGAGGTCGGCAGCTCGCCTACCACCCGATGCCCCATGGCGGCCGGACCCCCCACGACCACGATGCTTTCAAGCGCTATGATTCCAATTCCCAAACGAACGACGCCCACACCATCAACCTCTTGGCGCAGGCTAGAAATGCTGAGTCGGAAAAGGATGACACCTGCAAAACATACAAGTGCAATGCAAGCGAAAAAAACCAAGTCGCATGGATCCATGCACAGTTGGGGGGGGGGCGAATCCTTCGTCCACCAAAACGGCAGGGACCTCAATGCACCCACAAAAAAAGGTTCGCAGGCGCCAGAAAAAGCGTGGTTGTAGATGGTAAGCCCCAGCCGTCGAAAACACACGAGGCATTTACCCACCATTGACGACACACCGCAGCGCGACGCGAAAAGTGCACCCCATTACACTCTCAACTGGAAAATGAAGCATGCTCCGTCTGCAAAAATTGCAAACGGCAATCGCTCAGCTCAGAAAGAAAGGGCAGCAGGGCCAGATGAGTAGTAAGATTTGGCTCCTGCTAAATGATGTTAGCCTCCGTATGCTACTGGAATTTGAAAATCACGGCTGGGAGATGGGAGAGAGGGACCATACCGCCGGATTGGGCAGGCACTACGGTGGTATCAATCTACAAGGGAACAGGGACGACACCAACCCAGACAATTAACTACCAATCTCACTACTGAACAATGACGAACACACCGCTCCACACACTATCCTTGGGCTGGAGACAGGCATTCGATTCTCTGGACCACGCCGCACTTCGGGCTTTCAGACAACATGCTGGGCTCTATAAAGACACCAATAAGGTCAGCAGGTATCTGCCCGGGCCGTCCCTCAAGCCCATACCTCCTTGTTCTGCAGATAAGGACCTAGAACGGAAAGGAACCCCCGAAACACTTGTCTTTCGGCCCAGACCGTGCGGCAACGACGGTCCCTCCTGGCTGCAATCGAAAAAATGCTGCAGAATATGGCATGAAACTTAACAACATGAAAATCGAACTCCTTATTCACAGCCGTCCCAGAAAAGACCGCGAAAATTCGCGAACGGCACGAGTCAAGACTACCCGCGCACAATTCGAGAACAACATGCGAACGCCCCTTTCAAAATGCCTCGCTTCATTGAGCCGGTCTCGTAGAAGCTGCCCAAAAACAACTTCCGCTAGTTTGAAACTCCCGACTCCCTACCAATACCATTCCTAAGATGTCCCGATCCACAATTGTAGCCATCCTCGCCGCCGGCCTGGATAACCTGACTCTAGGACCTGAAGAAAATCGACGAATTCTTGTTTCCTTGCCGACCCAACACATTTTGTGGTCTCTCCAGGCGTTTTAGATCAGGGCAGAAGAATAGAAATGCAATTCCCACCTTTGCCCAGAATTCTGGAACCACGTTGGACCGCAGCTAAGTACACAGGACCATACTGCAAGTAGACCTTTCTAGCAAGAGCGCTGCCAAAATCGTCTTTCCAGCTTCCCTTTTAGTAGCCCCTATGACCCATTCCCCCATTCCCTACTAAGCACCAGACAGTAGAGCCAAACACAGAGTGCAGGGCCGTCTTCTCCAATTCCCGCGAGCCTAACTCCCAGAGACTCCAATACCCCTTAATTAAGGAATATACCTTAAATTATAATAGGATCCCTAATATGATTTAAGGTCTATTCCTTAATTAAGGGGTATTGGAGTTTCTGGGCTCTTACCCTAAACCCTCAACCCTAAACCCTAAACCCCCTTCACCCTTCATACCCAGCGGCAACGGTGCGGACTTTGAAGCCAGGCAAGGCGGACCTTCTGGAGGATGAGGAGTCGGCCGCCTAGCTCTTTCAGGGTTTAGGGTTTAGGGTTTAGGGTTTAGGGTTTAGGTTTAGGTTTAGGGTTTAGGGTTTAGGCTTCAGGGTTGAAGGTTCAAAGTCTTAAACAAGGTGTTCTTGCTTCTTTCAGGGCGTGAAGAAAGCTGTATCATATCATTTTTTAGACTGAAAGGGTTCGACATGGCTCTACAACGGCCTTTATGCAGGTTCTGTGAGCCTTTGCTTTGAAGGGTCCGGGCCTCTTTCTGTTTGTGGCTTTGCTCTGTCCTTTAGTCGGTCGGTTTATGGAGTTCTGCTGTTGGAAACAGAAGGTTTTGAGCTTGGGGGGCTGCAGGGTGTAAACGCACTGATGGGTCTTTTGCGGCTTCTGTCGGCGTCTTCAGCGGGGCTTTACAACGGCTTGAAATCAAGGTTCGGAAAGTTAACCCTAAACCCTAAACCCTAAACCCTAAACCGTTTAGCATCCGTGAACTCTGCAACTGGGTCGCAAGTCCGATAAAATGCGATGATGTATCAGCGGTTCATAGCGGTGTCCGTCGTTAGCGGAACCCTTGCTTGTCTCTGGCTAAGCAACCCCCAACTGTTTGATTAGGGTTTAGGGTTTAGGGTTCAAGGTTTAGGGTTTAGGGGTTTTGAATGTAGGGTTTAGGGTTTTGGGTTCAGGGGTTTAGGGGTTTAGGATTTAGGGTTTAGGGCTTAGGGGCTTAGGGCTTTAGGGTTTAGGGTTTAGGGTTTAGGGTTCTGGCTTCATACCGGGTCGAGGGTTCAAGGCTATCGGGCTTTCGGGCTCAGGGCGCAATGAGGCTTGAGCCTTTCAGGCTTTGAGGTTTCCGGGTGTGCGTTTGATGCTTGTAAGGATCAAGGCAGGTAGGGCTTTAGGTTTCCGACTTCTAGGCTATCATACTTGGACGTTCATAAATTACAAGGCAGGATGTGGTAAGGATGTCATAACTTTAGGGTTTCGGGTTTAGGGTTTAGGTTTTAGGGTTTAGGGCTTCGGGTTTAGGGTATGGTTGAGATGCCTGTAAACCTGCTTGCGACAACCGAGGAACCTTCAAGTGAAAGCATTGCTAAAGACCCGAAACCCTTCTACCCTTCTACCCTAAACCCTAAACCCTAAACCCTAAACCCTAAACCCTAAACCCTAATCCCTAAACCTAAACCGTTACCCTTCTACCCTATAGATCCCTTGTAGAATCCTTTGAGGAACCTGTTGAGCTGCCCCCATGATCCTCTGACTAGGACAGCTCAGGCCCAAGAACTCCACAGCTTCCATCGAGACTCGGACTCAGTTTAGGGTTTAGGGTTTAGGGTTTAGGGTTTAGGGTTTAGGGTTTAGGGTGTAGGGTTTAGGGGAAGATTACAAACCACCCTAAACCCTAAACCCCAACACCGGGGCCCTAATAACTCGAGCAGGGCTCCTTTAACTGTTCCTTGCAAGGGCTCTGTAATGGTTGCTATATAAGGGCGTGGTATATAGAAAGGTTTTGGGATATATTATAAAAGAATTTTTGGGAATTTGTAGATATGTACATATGTATACTATATGTGTATATATATATATATATATATCGAAAAATTGTTCTGACCCCTGCATTACTCCCCAAACGCGACAGCTCAGGGCCTTGGGTTTAAGACTGCGCAGCCTACGTGGTCCAAGATCGCGTCTCGGACGACCAATGCCCGCAAAGAGCTTCGAGGCCAGTTTAGGGTTCAGGGTTTAGGGTGTAGCGTTTAGGGTTTAGGGTTTTAGGGTTTGGTGCTGTATGAGAGTTTTTTACACAGGTTCCATGGGCTCCTTGGGCCTTCAGAAGTTTTAGGTGTTGGCGTTTATGGGCCTTAACCTGTGATCCTGTGTGCAACACCACCAAGAAGGTTTAGGGTTTAGGGTTTAGGGTTTAGGGTTTAGGGTTGTGGGTTTAGGGTTTAGGGTTTAGGGATTAGGGTTTAGGGTTTAGGGTTTAGGGATTAGGGTGTTTAGACCCCAAACCCTCAACCCCTAAACCGTAAGCCCTCAGCCCCCCTTATAGAACCCTCATAGAACCCTTATATTGCGCAGGTCACTGATCCATGAAGTACGGGAGATCCACCATTGCCTGCCCCCGCGATTCAGCTTGGGGTTGCGGGTTTAGGGCTTAGGGTTCAGAATGTTTCACGAAGCTTCTTTTTAGATGGCCCCATAAAGCCCTTGAAGGCTTAAGCCATCAGACTGGAAAGCCCAGTACACCATGCTCGAAGGATTGTGGGGAAGAAGCATCGTAGGATGTAGGCGTTTTGCTTTTGCACCTCCTCCAGCCTCTAAAACTTCAACACCAACTAGCGTCCCTCAAATTTCGGCATGTGGAGTTGGGTTTCAGGTTTCAGGGTTGAGGGTTTATGGGTTCGTGCCACATCTTGTAAGAGTGCAATGGGTTTAGAAGGAATCGTCATTCAAGACCGAACACACCTGAAAGGCAAACGGCTCTCGCAACCTGACCCAAACTAAACCTCGAAACCCTTACTCCTAGACCATAACGCTAAGCCTTGAACTTCAGAACCGACCGCCAAAATCCCCAAACCTGAACCATAAACCCGAAACAGTGAACCCAGAACCAAAACCATTCTCAAGATTTCTGATTGCATTTTAGTTGGGACTCAGGGCTCTACAAGTTGGTTGAGTCTTTGTGGTTTACAAGGACCTGAACCAGAGACCAGCCCGAACAGGAAGCCAAAAACCCAAAACATCAAGTCCTTACCAAAAAGAGGGGCCCTAAATCAGGGACCCACTTCTCGCAACAAACGCTTACAACAACCCATCAGATTCCCGCAAAATGTCTACGGTTTGAACCCAGGACCCCGCTATACTCTAAACCTTACGCCCGAAACCGCTTAAAGCCCTGAACAGCAGGCCTCGACACTAGGTGCACTATGTCGCCTCGGCTACCGCAGCAAAGTGAGGTGGACTTTCAAGGCTTTGAACGGTTTAGGGCTTCGGATGTAGGTGCTTTTGGGTTGTAAACAAACACTTGTTGCTCTGTGTGTGTGCTTGTGTTAGCGTTAGTGCTAGTTTGAACAACCCTCCGACGGGCTGTCCACGCACGCCCGTCGGGGATGCAGCGCTGGGCTTGTGAGGATTTCATGGCAGGAGCAGCACTTTCAGGATGTGGATTTTTGGCTTGTGGAGTAGCTTCACAAGGGGAACTATGACAAAATATGAAGAATCGGTGCTGCGGCCTAGGTTTTGGACACATCGAGGTGGTTTAATCAAGGTTTGGTGACGGAAGATCTTCACTGCTTGCTCGCGAAATCATTTTTTGCCGGCCAGGAACTGACAACTTCACGCTCAGCGGGAACGTCGTTAATCCCTAGAGCCGCGTCAGTTGAAGCACGGTTTTGATAACTAGAGGTCTGGGTCGAAATCTCACTGCGCCACGGCTTTTGAGGCCATGGCAATGTTGTTTTCATGTGGGTCATGACTTGCGGAAACAGCGCACTGGGCAGAAATAAAAAGGCAGCAACGCCTCTTGCAGCAATCGCAATGCCTTGGTCAGTAGGGCAGGTTGCGAGAAGGCTAAACGGCAGAAGTGAACCTAGCAAAGCAGTGGCAGTAGGAGTGGAGAAAAAGTGGACCTAGAGCAGCAGCTGCAGCAGCAGAAAAAGCCCCGTAGCGGCAACAGTACGAGTGGTGGCAGCAGGAGCGGCAGAAGTGCCTCGACTAGCAGCTGCAGCAGCACTTTAAGCAAGTCATCCCGCCCCCACCCCCCAATCCCCCACCGCATATATGAAGGTGCTAGGGTGCTCAGGCCTGGGCAGGCGTTCAGAAGGTACGAGATCGCGCAAAATGCACGCAGCTGCCTCCCTCCCCGAAGAAGCCAGTTGCACAACACACACACCCAAGCACCTCCCTCCGCCAAGACCCGAAAACAGCGACAGGCGCTAGGCTTTCGGCAAGCGAGTCAGCAGAACACCGCAAATGCCGATGTGCTCGACGCACCCAGCCCCGCACCCAGCCCCGCTGCCTTCCGAAAACAACGGCAGGCGAGACGTTGTCGGTTAGGAAGTCCACGGATCACCGTCAATACCGAGGCGGTGGGTGTGCGGACGGCGCGCGTCAAAAGGCAGTCGGAGCCTTTTGACACCGAAAAGCATGTAATGTAGGGGCCTTATTAATTATTAGAATAGGGTTTTTGTTATTTTATACTACAATTATAATAAGGAGCCCCCAAAATAGTAAAGGTAATTCTTGAGGCCCCTATAATAGTTCATTGCATACACGTACTTTGGCATTAAGTAGCAGGGACACCGCAGACCCTTCGATCAAAGGATACCTCGACCCTTATGGTATCCCTGGTAGCATCCTCTATGCAAAACTTATTATGGTTCAACCCTGAACCGTAAACCCTAAAGTGTGACTGAAGTTTGGGGGTTTGGGATTCGTTGGGTTTGGGAGGTTCGAGTTCGCACCTTTGGCTCTGACAGACCTAGCATTCAGATTTCCATTCAGTGCTTTTGGCGATTTAGGGATTCGGGATTTAGGGTTATGGCTCAGGGTTTAAGACTCTAGAGTCTGCAACGCCTTAACCAGTCAACACGTGCGAAAGAGTGAAGTTTTGAACTGACCCCAATAACCGTAACACCCTGGAATCCGCAAGGAAGGGAAAGCCCCTGGGCTCAAGTGAGAGCCTCCTTCGAGGGAATCTCGGCGGGATTCTGATATGGAGGCTTGTAGACTGAGATGAGGGTATTGGGGTTGCAACGGTTCTTATAAGGAGCTTAAGGCTTTGGGGGTCTAGTCGCCTAAATACTCAGACTGGGCGTCTTGCCGGCTTTTTGCTACGAAACAGACGAAGGAACCCCCGGGAGGAATTGGAAAAAGGGTGTTGGGGTACATTTCGCGGACGATCAGGGGGCCTCAACCATAAATCGTAAACCCCAAACCTTGAACCCTAAACCCTGAAACAAAACCCTAAACCCTGAACCCTGAAACCCCCAACCCCTAAGCCGCGACTGATTAATGTAAAAGCCTTAACAATTAGAATGGGGCTTTTGGGGTTTGTACATTATATATATATATATATGTATATAAATATATATATATATATTTATTTATCTATTTATATTTATATATACTATACTATACTATACTATACTATACTATACTATACTATACTATACTATACTATACTATACTATACTATACTATACTATACTATACTATACTACAGTTATAATAAGGAGCCCCGAAAATAGTATAGGCCCTAAACCCTAAACCCTAAACCCTAATCCTAAGCAGAAGTACTTGATAATGCGGCCAGGGATCTCCCACGCTGCTTTCGCCCGTTCCGACCTGGTGGGTCCACTCTTTTCTTCTGCGAGTTTGTGTAAGGGTTTAGGGTTTAAGGGTTGGGGTTTAGGGTCTAGGGTTCAGAGTTTGGGGTTTAGGGTTTAGGGTTCAGAGTTTGGGGTTTAGGGTTTAGGGTTGAAGGTTTAGGGTTCAGGGTTTAGGGTTCAGGGTTCAGGGTTTATCACGTTTGACACGTCAGACAAGAGGCTGACATCCCTCCCGCGGCTAAGCAGAGGGAACACGGTAAGGGTTTGGGGTTTCGGGTTTAGGGTTTAGGGTTTAGGGTTTTAGGGTTTTGGGTTTTAGGGTTTAGGGTTTAGGGTTTATGTCGGCTTCCGCGGTGTTGAAGTTCAGCTTTGGTGGTACGTAGTTTAGCTTAGGCGGCAGGGCTGGGCGATTGTAGTTTCAGTTGGGCTATATGACTGGTTAGCTACCTCGCATTTCATGTGCCACGAAAGTGTAGCTAGAATCAGCTGTGCCCTGCAGTTATGGTACTCGTCGTCCTACTTATAACCCGACCCTAAACCCGCAACAACTAGCTTATGCTTAGGGCTCTTGGGGCTGTGACGGTCTGAGGCAGTTGAGGCTTAGAGGTTCAAGAAGCAGAATTCAGGATTCAGTGTGACCCAAGCACCTTTAAACGCATCACGGTTTAGGGTTCAGGGTTTAGGGTTCAGGGTTTAGGGTTTAGGGTTTAGGGTTTAGGGTTTAGGATGAACTCCAAAACCCATCGCCGAACTCACAACCCTGAAGCCCAATTGGAAAATTGGATACCTCCATGGTACCACCTATCGCAATCTATTCTAGACGATTCAAGTCTAGTCTAGTCTATTCCGATTATGATATTTACAGTATATTAGGCAATCTTATTAATGTACGTCAATTAGAATAGAGTTTTGGGGGTTTCCGTATTAAAACTATAGTATAGTATACCCCGAAACCCTATTCTGCTTATTAAGGCATCTATATAGTATCGGAACCACATCACTTACTTCCCCAGAAAGCCAAAGAAATAAAATGTTAAACTTTCAGATTACTACTGAATTATAAGAACCCAGAAAGTTTAAAGGTTTGGTATTGGGGAACTAAGATCATATTATATCAACGGATGACATGTTCCAAACTCGAAGGAGCTGAAGATGAAAGCCAGGGGGGCTTAACGTTAGAGCATAGGCTTCGGGGTCTAGGATTTGGGGTTCAGGGTTTAGGGTTTAGGGTTCAGGGTTTAGGGTTTAGGAGTTGGGGTTCAGGGTGTAGGGTTTCGAGAGATGGTGCTTGTAGCTAGTTGAACCTTGCCTGAACTGCTCCATGGCCTCATTGCTGGGTATCCGGAAGCTCCTCGACAACACAGTGCGCACACGGGTGATCACAAGAGCATCTCTCCCTCTCCCTCTCCCTCTCCCTCTCCCAATCCCTCTCCCTATCCCTCTCCCTCTCCCTCTCCCTCTCTCTCTCCCTCTCCCTCTCCCTCACCCTCTCCCTCTCCCTCTCC